AGTTGTATGTTAAACTCAAATGGTATAAAACCAAAAATGAATGAGCATACACAAATGATCTTTTGAATTTTTTATACTCATTTTGTGAGTTATGTATGCTCATTTGGTACCTCTTTATGCTCATTTCAAACGTATCATACTGATGTACTCCTAATTTACCATATTTATGATCTTGTTTTGTCACACTTTTAATACTTTATTTCTTATTTTTAAATAAAAAGGATTGATCTTTATCATCTTGGACATTTTAAGGTATTGCACTTGTTTTGGTATATTTTTGAGTTTCAGGATAATTCGGGACGTATATTAATTTCTGAAAAGAAATAAATATTACTCCCGAGTGAAGACGGAAAAATCATCAAAGTGAAGCGAGTCCTTACTTTATCTCTGAAATATTTATTCAGAGACCCGAAGTTCATTTCAGAATAAACCAGACTGTCTACAATAAAATGTACCGATTAAATATTTGACCAGTTAACTGATCAAACAGCTAACCGGCCAAAATAATCAAGTGGCGGAAAGCGGCCAAAACTCTGGCATTCAAGAGCTCAACACTATTCACTCATTGAGACATGTGAATAAAGCTCCACCGTAGAAGTCCAAAAGAAGAAATGCAAAGGAGTGATTATTGTATTAGATTATTGGAGGGATCTACGGATTTCAAGCTAAGCAATTAAAATCCAAGTTGTCTTCATCATCTTTCATGAGCCGAACAGAAGAACACACCGGCCGATGAAGAAAAAAATGCACAACTGAACAGTGGCCGGTGCTATTTGCAGGAAGAAAATGAGAAATTGGCAATCACATCTGGTGAAGATTCAAATCAGTGGCCGCTCAAATATAATGATCCTTGTCTTCATTTGTAGATATTTTATGCTCCATACTCTTCTTTTGCTGCTATATAAAGGAGTCATTCGTGAGCTGCAGAACACACCAAGTTCTGATAGAAATCATTGTTCTCTTTTCTTTAGTTTATATTAGTAGCCATATAATAAAAGTGATTTTGTCAAGAACACTTTCTGTATAGATTTCAGTTTGTAATTCTCAGTTCCAGAATTAGCTTGTGATATTGGTATTAAAGTTCATATGCAATTATCAGTTCGTTCGATCAGTGCAAGCTTTATACAAGGATTCCAGGCTTTTTCTGTTCCAGTTCATCTATGTTCTTCATTATTTATGCCTTCAGGTTCTTATTTAAACACTACTTTAATTTCTTTAATCTGTTAATTTAATTATGCCTAGCATGAATTTTACTCTTATTTTGTTTACTATAATTATGTGTAACTAAATTAGTTTAGGCTTGGGCAAGATGCAAATTTTACTGTTAATGTTCATATGATAATAATTGGTTAAAACTTTTACTTGGTTAATTTTAGGGTGTTGGGTTGAATGTTTAATCTGCTAAATACATTATATTGGGAAATGAATATTATCACGGGAGTGGAGTTTCATTAAAAATCCATTTAGTTAATTCACCCACTAAATTGCTACACGGAAGTGTTAAGGAATTTAGGATAATTTGATTTTGTACTTTTTACTGTATTAATAAAATTACCGCGGGAGCGGAATTAATTTAAGATAGTGTAATCAACTAAGTAGTGGGAACGATTAGAAGATTACCATTTGAAAATCTTTCATACACCTAAAAGTAACCAAGTTAATCAGTTAAATCTTTATTATTATGAACATGAAAATAAAATCACTCTTAGCCCAAGCCTAATTTTCACTATATCATTAATTGTTAAATTATCAAGTATTGTGATTTATTTTATTTCCTAGCAATTTCACATTTATAAAAACAAGATAAAAAAATCTGTTCACTTAGCTCCATTGCAAAATGTTATCAATTTGTGATTAGCTAAAAATCAATCATTAATTCTAGTTCTCTTTTTGAGCCATTCTCTAGCGGAACGATACTCACTTACTCTATACTATATCGTTATAAGCCAATTAAAACATCATTTTCATTCACATTTTTACATCATTTCACACTACTGTGAATATCAGCCAATTTCTTAATTTCAAGCAAGTAATTTTCCATGGACTGGTTTTCTTTCTTTCTAATTGCATTCAGATTACGCTTAAGTTCCATGGCTCGAGGTAAACTGGCAGACATAAATCGTTGTTGCAAACGATCCCATATACCCGATGAATGTTTAATATCGTGCACATCAGTTAACACATCGCGAGAAAGAGTAGCAAACAACCAAGAACGAATTGTTTGATCTACCCGAAGCCAATGATAATATTCTGTATTACTGATTTGCTGATTATTAAAATTCACCGTATACATAGGAGGTACCTGAATTGATCCGTCAATCATGCCGAAAAGTCCTTGCGAAACCAGGAACGATTCAAACTGAGTGCGCCATGTAAGATAATCTTCAACAGCCTTTAGTTTGATAGTCACAATTTGGGAGACCGTTGTGATATGGGAGATTGATTGAGCCAGAGAGGCCATTGGGGAAGCAAGCACGGACTGTTCCTGTGGCCGAACCACACCTGGTGACCCGGAGAACGTAGACCCATAATACGGAGAAGCTGCCGGCGGTGGAGAAGAGAACGATGCCGGGCGCGTTTCACCTACAGTCTGCCACGGAAAACGGGGCGGCAGAGAGCTGAACAGCGTGTAAGGTTCTGCCGCAGAAAATATGGGAGGCGGCGGAAAGGTCGTGAACAGAGCACATGACAGGGCTGGCATCACCGGTGATCTTGTAAGGGCTGGAGAAAAAGGAACAGAGATTGATGTGGAAAAACTGGGTTGCGCCGTCGTGCTGGAAGAGGTGCTGAATTCCGGCGCCGTGGAGACCATGGCTGCAGCGGAAGAGCTCATGGTGGAGGTTACCATGGCTGCCGATGAATCTGCCGCAGAAGAAGACATAGAGGCGGCGAAAAAAAAATTGTATCGAGAGAGGAATTTAGGTTTTGGCTCTTGATACCATGTGAATATTTGGGAAAAGGTACTCGAATAGGAGTCCTGACATGTATATTTATACTAAAAGAGGTTAATACATAATAGGAAACAAATATGGCTAAGAATATTCTATTAACTACACATTTTGGCATGTCACGATTTTGGCCCCGTTGCCGGGGAATGGCATAGTTTTATTGATTGGTTATTAGTTAATATTAGTGTTTGTTTTTATTTATTTGGAGACTAAGTGTTTTTATTTCCTGTTATCATCACTTGTTTTTAGTTTCCAATTGTAAAAAAAAACCAAAAAAAAAAATAGTGTATGCATACTCGCTCTCAAGGGAGTGAAGAATTGCAGCCACTTAACCTTGATTTTGAAAAAGAATTAAGGAAAAGAAGAAAGGCCCAAATCCTTGAACTTAAAATTCCAAATCAGATCATGGAGGACCTTCACAACAATCCCAATAATCCAAATAGCCAAAACCAAATTTCAAATCCAAATCCAAATCCTACGCCACCACAAAATACCCCTATAAATACACCCATTGATACTCCTAGAGATAGACATAATCCTTTCTTTGGAGATCAAAGACCCCCTGGATTTGAAAATTTCCAACAAATTCCTCCTCTAACACAACCCAACCCTTATCCACCACATCCCTACCAAAACTACCAAATTCACCAAAACCAACCTCCACCATATCCATACACATACCCTTATCCTTACCCACCTCCTCCATTTATGCACCCATACCAACCTCACCCATATGGCCAATACTACCAACACCCACAAAATCAACAAGGTCAAGGGCAATACATAAGACAACAACAACAAGGCAGAAGACTTCTTGATTATGTTGCAGGTGAAATTGAGGAACAAGATAGCATTCTCTATCCAGGTGTGGATGCAGCAAATTTTGAGATCAAACCAGCACTTATCTCATTGGTATCAGCCAACAAATTTGGCGGATCAAAGAATGACGATCCAACGAGCCATGTGAAGCAATTCTTGAGAGTTCTCCAAACTCTTAAGCTTAATGGAGCCTCTGTTGATGCCATCAGACTGAGATTGTTTCCATTCTCACTAAGGGATGAAGCACTGAGTTGGTTAAACTCTAAACCATCTGGTTATTTCAACACATGGGAGAAGTTGCATAGAGATTTCATGAAGGAGTTCTATCCTCCTTCCAAGGCATCAAAAATGAAGAAACTAATCCAACAATTCAGACAACAACCATCAGAATCTCTTTACGAATCATGGAAGAGATTTAAAGATCTTCAAGTTCAATATCCACATCATAATATGAGCGTGGGTGATCTGATTGTCTCATTTTATGAGGGATTACATGATAATTCCAAAATTGTTGTGGATGCCTCTGCTAATGGAGCTTTCATGGAGCTTGATCCCGAAACAGGCAAAGAGATGCTTGAGAAAATTTGTAACAACAGTGCATCATGGTATTCTGAAAGATCCACTCAAAAGTTAGGAGCGGGAATGTAACACCGTCCCCAAATATATTTACCGTTATGTAAATTATGTATTGAATATGGTGTATTGAGTAATGAATTTACGAGGTTGTAAATTTTTGTTATTCTTTTGCGTGAATAGTAAATTCCACGTGGGGCCCACACTCGGAGCGGGGGTAACCCGATAACACGAGACCACATGTTATATTCATCTTGGTCTAGATAATACTTACATGGTGGTGGAAATTCATAATGGACCATAAGAAAGGCATTGGGTTGACCGGTTTGTCAAACAGGGCCCAATTACCAGTACCGACAATGTTTTCAGATAACGGTCCGAAATGAATTTCGGAGACTTTTAAATTAAAGTTGGGGAATGTACATTCATTCTATAGACCCATAATTGTTATGGACATGTAATATATTTTATTTTGACCCGATAAAATAAAGTATAGTTAAAACAGTCCGAGAAATACAACTTTCGGGGCAGAATGGACACTTTGGGACATATAAGGGTGACCTCCCACTTGGGTGGGGGCCACCCCACGAATTTATCAATCAATGGGGGGCTGAGTGATTCCAAATTGGCTGAGAGCTCTTGAGAGGATGGGGGGAACACCTTTGACATCCAAAGGGACCCTCTCACCCATAATAGCTCAAAGAGACAAAAAGGGAAGGCACACCCCTCTCCCATCCACCATTCTCGACCAGAACCACCCAAGGAAAGAAGGGAGAGCTATACAACTCCATTCCCATAGCCAAATTCGAAGCTCAAGCTTAAGGAGTCCAAAGAAGGGGTTTTAAGGAGGAAAAAGTGAAGAAAAGTGTGAAAGATTAAGGTAATGACCTTATATTAACTTTTCCTTTATTTTCCTTCCATCATATGAGCTACATATCATATGGAGACCCTTGAGGATTGTTCTACATGACTAAAGTGTAGGACAATGGGTTGAAAGGTGGTTCTAAGTCCAAGAGCGGACTTAGAAGCCATAGAGACCGGTTCACCGGAAAATAACCTTTTAAGGGTTATTTGTATTGATTAAGGTTTTATGATGTTAAAACTTTGTTAGGCACTTGTAAAGGGTGATTTAAGAACTTTCACGAAGTTGAAAGAGTTACCGGAGTTGTCGCCGGAGTTCATCAAAGTTCGCCGGAGTTTCATCGGAGTTCAACCGGGAAGGGTAGAACTTCATAACACTCATTCGAGGTGAGTGGACGGCTTAATGTCTTATAACTCTTGGGTTAAGTATGAGATTACCTAAATAAATGTTATAAGTATTCATAATGATGTTTAAAAGAGTTTAAGCATGTGATTAGCCAAGGTGATTAGGCTTATGTGAATAAAACTACATGATTATGCATGTGGAAGGTAGAAAACGTGTATAAAAACATATGTGATGTTTTGGATGGCCAAAATGACATTTATTGATTGTTTTAGACATGATATAGGTTGTATAAAAATTTCGGATCAAACGGATCACGTTTCGGGGGTCAACTCGGGGGTCAACGGGCCGTTGACCCAAAACTCCGAACATACCCGGCGCCGGGTATAGGGCATACCCGGGGCCGGGTAAGCTGCTGCCTCCATATTACGTTTTCGCCGAAAACGCGAATCGGAGCCCGGTTCGATGGGGGGTTGATCCCGTACAACCTATGTGTGTATATTGTGCATGGAATTGCATGGAATATGATATTTAAATGTCAAGGTTGATATTTATTGATTTAATTCTAAGACTTGGTTTAGTCTTTAGTAATAATATGATATAGACCCTATCTAGTGTGATATGTGGTAAGTCATAGGTCGGGTGGAGTACCGAGGGATCGGGCGTGTATCCTCAAAACTCAGTTATATGGTGGAGTACCAAAGGATCGGGCGGTTATCCTCAAAACTCGGTTATATAGGGTGGAGTACCCAAGGATCGGGCGGTTATCCTCAAAACTCGGTTATATAGGGTGGAGTACCCAAGGATCGGGCGGTTATCCTCAAAACTCGGTTATATAGGGTGGAGTACCCAAGGATCGGGCGGTTATCCTCAAAACTCAGTTATAGGGTGGAGTACCCAAGGATCGGGCGTGTATCCTCAAAACTCATAGATTACATTTAATAATCTAGGACCGGGTGGTGTCCCTATGGTAATTTACTTGAACAAGGAGGAGTTCTATACACTCATAGGTATATGGGTGGGTTGGGATTTAAGTCAAGGACATTGGCTTCTATTATTTTCCCAAATGAACAATGACCTACGGGTCGGGTATTTCCAAGTGTATATATACTAATAGGTATTTCAAAACTTGGGGGAAGAACTATACGTATATGTATCACCCTATGTTTGGGTCTTATACTTGAAACGTTAGTTATTCTACATTTAGCTTGCTACTCGCTCGGTACTTGTACTGACCCCTTCGGGGGGCCCCACCATTTCAGGTTGAAGCTAAGGCTAGCTATCCACACTTTGCTCGGTGAAGTATTCCAAAGGAAGACGTGGTTCGTGCTTCCTTTACTGTTTTAAACTACAAACTTGCTCATGGATACTTTGTAATAAATACATTTGTTTTGGGCCTGCGTGCCTACGTTTTGGCCATGTGTGGCCCATGATTGAATATTGAATATTTCCGCTATTCATTCAATCCCAATATGTGATGTTGTTATGTATGTTTACTTACTGAGTATGGTATGGACTATGTTCATGGACGCCTTGTGTGACTAAGTCGCGTTGACTTGCGAGTGACGTCATTTAGTCATACGGCGGTTGTACACGCGCTCAGATGCGGTCAGGGGCGTGACAATTAAGTGGTATCAGATCCATCTCAGTTTCTAAACTATGTAATCAACCTCACACAAGAGATTTTACAAAAGAGTTTTACCGTAGGTCCTTTGACGGCACCGGCGACATTACCGTTGCCGCCGATTGGATCAAGAAGGTGAAGGATGCATCGAGAGACATGCAAATTACACCGGACGTGAAGCTAACCGTCGCTTCACGGTTGCTTGAGGGGATGGCTTCTACATGGTGGGAAGGTGTGGAAGGGAAATACCGCGGGGACATCTCATGGGAGAATTTTGAGCGGGAATTTTATGCCCAATACTACTCCGATTTCGAGGTTAATGTGAAAAGGAGGGAGTATACCAACCTCAAGCAGAAGGAGGGTTGCACCGTTAAACAACTAGAGCAAGAGTTTAGAACCCTGGCTAGGTTCTTACCGGAGTATGCGATTGATGAGGACCGCATGACCAAGCACTACTGGGATGCCTTACTCTTAGACATCCGAGATCGTGCTACGTACTCACGCCTCATGACTTTTAGTGAGGTGGTAGAACAAGGCATGCTGGGGGAGGCCCGGTGGAATGAAAGGAAAGCAAGAGATGCCGAAGAGGCAAAAAAGAGGAAGTGGAATAGTTCGGGGCCGCCCGATCATTCCCGAAGGAACAACCACGGTGGTGGTGGTGGTGGCTCATTCAAGGCACCGGCTCCACCGGCAAAGAAGAATAGGGACGCGAGGTGGCACGGACCTAGGCCACAAAACTCGGGGGCACCTAGATGTCCCAATTGCTCAAAACAGCACTTTGGGAAGTGCAATGAACCACCGAGATGTTTTAAATGCGGGAATGCGGGCCATATGAAGGCCAATTGCCCTCAATTGATGCAAGAGAGTGCATCGGGAGCCGGGGGAGGGACCATGACAGGAAGGAATCGTGCGGGACCGTCACACGGTGGAACGGGAAGAGGCGGCGCGTCAACAAGCAATGCCGCGTCCGTCAACCAAGGCGGAGCCCAAGTAAGGGTCTACGCGATGACCGAGGCCGATGCTCGGTCCAACCCCGACTCCGTTGCAGGTAATCCCTTGTACACACTTGTATTTCTCATGTACATACATGTTATAGGCTTTAGGGTGCATGTACGGGTTAACCGACGGCATTTTCGGCTCGTTTTTCGGTTGAAAAACGGAGCTGGCAGTAGCCTACCCGGCGCCGGCCAGGGGGCAACCCGGCGCCAGCCCGGAAAAATTTCCCGGAGGGTGCTATCTAGTAGCTTACCCGGCGCCGGCCAGGGGGGCAACCCGGCGCCGATCCGGGGAGAATTTTCTGATGTTTCGCTCCAGGGGGTAACCGGCGCCGGTCCGGGCCATACCCGGCGCCGGTCCGGTGCAATTTTCGCCTCCTTTGATTCCAGTAGCTTACCCGGCGCCGGACAGGCCTATACCCGGCGCCGGTCCAGTGTATTTTTGTTCAAAAGTCTTCGTTTAAGCCCCGTTTCGACCCGGTACGTGTGTAGTGTGTCTTACATGACTTATATATATGTAGGAACCTTAAAGATCAATGGTAGAAACGCAAGAATCCTCATTGATACCGGGGCACAACGTTCATTCGTGAGTGAAGTGTTTGCCGAAAGTTTAGGCGTACCGTTGATAGCAATGACCCAACCCTTGTTGGTCTCTACACCGTTGGGAGACGATGTGGAGAGGAAACACTACTATCCATCGTGTGAGGTAGAAGTGACGGGTCAACCCTTGACTTGTGACTTCGTACCTCTAAGTATGTTGGAGTTCGATGCAATCCTAGGGATGGATTGGCTCGAGAAGTATCATGCTCGGGTAGATTGCTACGCCAAGGTGTTAGAACTCAAAGACGCTGATGGAAACGCTCTACGTTTCGAGGGAGATCTGGGAGGATCTCATAGTTGTATCATATCCGTGATGAGGGCACGGAAGATGATGAAGAAGGGATGCCACGCATACCTGGCTTACGTGGTTGACGAGACAAAGAAGGAGGCTGACATCAACGATGTACGCGTCGTGTGCAAGTATCCGGATGTCTTTCCCAAAGACTTGCCGGGACTTCCACCCGATAGAGAGATCGAGTTTGTGATCGAAGTAGAGCCGGGAACAAAACCCATTTCGATTCCTCCTTATCGAATGGCACCGGCAGAGCTTCAAGAGTTGAAGGTCCAATTTCAAGAGCTATTGGACAACGGCTTCATTAGACCTAGTCATTCACCGTGGGGAGCACCGGTACTCTTCGTGAAGAAGAAGGATGGTACATTGAGAATGTGCATAGACTACCGACAGTTGAACAAGGTCACAATCAAGAATAGGTATCCTTTACCGAGGATTGATGACTTGTTCGATCAACTTCGGGGGGCGATGGTGTTCTCAAAGATTGATTTGAGGTCGGGTTATCATCAGTTGAAGATCAAGGAGAGTGACATACCCAAGAGTGCATTCCGCACTAGATATGGTCACTATGAGTTTCTGGTGATGTCATTTGGGTTAACCAATGCACCGGCAGCATTCATGGACTTGATGAACCGAGTGTTTAGTGAATACTTAGATCAATTTGTGATAGTATTCATTGATGACATCTTGATATACTCCCAGAACGAGGAGGAGCATGAACACCACTTGAGACTTGTACTTGAACGACTTAGAGAAAAACAACTCTTTGCCAAGTTCTCCAAATGTGAATTTTGGCTTAAAGAGATTGGCTTTCTCGGGCATGTCATATCCGGTTCGGGCGTTGCTGTGTATAACGCCAAGATAAAAGACATCATTGATTGGGAGAGACCCAAAAATGTGAAAGAAATACGTAGTTTCCTTGGCCTAGCGGGATACTATCATAAGTTCGTAGAGAAATTTTCCGTGTTGGCATCTCCATTGACGAAGCTCACAAAGAAGGGGGCTAAGTTTATATGGGATGACAAATGTGAGAAAGGGTTTCTTGAACTGAAGAAACGACTCACCGAGGCACCAGTTCTTACTCTACCCAAGCAGGGGATAGGGTACGATATCTATAGCGATGCTAGCATCCAAGGACTTGGGTGTGTGTTGATGCAAAGGGGTAAGGTGATTGCCTACGCTTCAAGGCAATTGAGGAAACATGAAGTGAACTACCCTACCCACGATCTAGAGTTGGGGGCGGTGGTGTTTGCTCTGAAAATTTGGAGGCATTATCTCTACGGGGAGACATGTCACATTTATACCGATCATAATAGCTTGAAGTATGTATTCACTCAGAAAGAGTTGAATATGAGGCAGAGGAGATGGATGGAGTTGATCAAGGACTACGACTTGATCATCGAGTACCATCCCGGAAAGGCCAATGTAGTGGCCGATGCACTGAGCAGGAAGAGTACGTCAGGGACGTTACTCACATGTCTACAGGCATTGAGGGCACGCGTAGAGGTTTCCACGTGTGGGACCCTCATTGCTAGGTTCGAGGTTAGGCCTACATTACTGGGTGAGATCAGCAGATGTCAGGCCATTGATGAGGAATGTCAGAAGATCCGCGAACGGATCCTTGAGGGGCCCGTTGAGAACTTTCGTATACGTGATGATGGTCTGCTGTTATTTAAAGATCGTGTTTGCATACCAAAGGATGAAGGACTCCAAAAGTCCATACTTGAGGAGGCTCATTCTTCGGCCTATGCCATGCATCCAGGGGGTACTAAGATGTACCGAGACTTGAAAGAAAGTTATTGGTGGTCAGGGATGAAGAGGGACATCGCACAATATGTGAACCGATGCCTTACTTGCCAGCAGGTTAAGGCGGAGCATCAACACCCGGCAGGGCTTTTGCAGCCACTTACCATTCCAGAATGGAAGTGGGAACATGTGACCATGGACTTCGTGGTAGGGCTACCACGGACAGTGAACAACTATGACGCGGTTTGGGTAGTGATTGATAGGATCACCAAGAGCGCACACTTCTTACCTATCAACATTACTTATCCTCTTGAAAGGTTGGCCAAGTTATATGTGGAAGAGGTTGTGAGATTGCATGGAGTCCCGATATCCATTGTCTCGGATAGGGATCCACGGTTCACATCCAGGTTTTGGCCAAAGTTTCAAGCATCTTTGGGTACTAAACTGAAGTTTAGCACAGCCTTTCACCCACAGACAGATGGACAATCTGAGCGGGTGATACAGATTTTGGAAGACATGCTTAGGGCATGTGCCTTGGAGTTCCAAGGGAGTTGGGACAAACACCTGGCTTTGGTGGAGTTTGCCTATAACAACAGTTATCAGGCAAGTATTGGCATGCCTCCGTACGAAGCACTGTACGGGAGGAAGTGTAGGACACCATTGTGTTGGGACGAGGTTGGTGAGGCCAAGCTCGAGGGAATAGAACTTGTTGAGATCACCAAGGCTAAGGTGAAAATCATTCGTGACAGACTTAAAGCTGCCCAAGATCGGCAGAAGAGCTATGCAGACAAACGGCGGAGGCCGTTGGAGTTTGAGGTCGGGGATGAAGTTTTTCTAAGGATTTCTCCTTGGAAAGGCATCATCCGATTCGTATCAAGGGGTAAGCTTAACCCTCGATACATTGGTCCATTCGAAATCCTTGAAAGGATTGGGGCCGTGGCGTACCGTCTCAAGTTGACACCGGAACTTGAGAAGATTCATGATGTGTTTCATGTATCGATGCTCAAGAAGTATGTGCGGGACCCGTCACATATTCTTGAGAAGCCACCGGTGGAGATCCGAGAGGACTTGCAATACGCAGTAGAACCGGTAAAGATAGTGGGCCAACAGGTAAAGAAGCTTAGGAACAAGGAGATTCCTATGGTGAAGGTGCTTTGGAGGAGTGATCGAGTCGAAGAAGAAACCTGGGAGACCGAGGTCTCAATGAGGGAGCAATACCCGGTTCTTTTCGATTAGACACGTTGATTTCGGGGACGAAATCCCAAATAAGGGGGGGTGAACTTGTAACACCGTCCCCAAATATATTTACCGTTATGTAAATTATGTATTGAATATGGTGTATTGAGTAATGAATTTACGAGGTTGTAAATTTTTGTTATTCTTTTGCGTGAATAGTAAATTCCACGTGGGGCCCACACTCGGAGCGGGGGTAACCCGATAACACGAGACCACATGTTATATTCATCTTGGTCTAGATAATACTTACATGGTGGTGGAAATTCATAATGGACCATAAGAAAGGCATTGGGTTGACCGGTTTGTCAAACAGGGCCCAATTACCAGTACCGACAATGTTTTCAGATAACGGTCCGAAATGAATTTCGGAGACTTTTAAATTAAAGTTGGGGAATGTACATTCATTCTATAGACCCATAATTGTTATGGACATGTAATATATTTTATTTTGACCCGATAAAATAAAGTATAGTTAAAACAGTCCGAGAAATACAACTTTCGGGGCAGAATGGACACTTTGGGACATATAAGGGTGACCTCCCACTTGGGTGGGGGCCACCCCACGAATTTATCAATCAATGGGGGGCTGAGTGATTCCAAATTGGCTGAGAGCTCTTGAGAGGATGGGGGGAACACCTTTGACATCCAAAGGGACCCTCTCACCCATAATAGCTCAAAGAGACAAAAAGGGAAGGCACACCCCTCTCCCATCCACCATTCTCGACCAGAACCACCCAAGGAAAGAAGGGAGAGCTCTACAACTCCATTCCCATAGCCAAATTCGAAGCTCAAGCTTAAGGAGTCCAAAGAAAGGGTTTTAAGGAGGAAAAAGTGAAGAAAAGTGTGAAAGATTAAGGTAATGACCTTATATTAACTTTTCCTTTATTTTCCTTCCATCATATGAGCTACATATCATATGGAGACCCTTGAGGATTTTTCTACATGACTAAAGTGTAGGACAATGGGTTGAAAGGTGGTTCTAAGTCCAAGAGCGGACTTAGAAGCCATAGAGACCGGTTCACCGGAAAATAACCTTTTAAGGGTTATTTGTATTGATTAAGGTTTTATGATGTTAAAACCTTGTTAGGCACTTGTAAAGGGTGATTTAAGAACTTTCACGAAGTTGAAAGAGTTACCGGAGTTGTCGCCGGAGTTCATCAAAGTTCGCCGGAGTTTCATCGGAGTTCAACCGGGAAGGGTAGAACTTCATAACACTCATTCGAGGTGAGTGGACGGCTTAATGTCTTATAACTCTTGGGTTAAGTATGAGATTGCCTAAATAAATGTTATAAGTATTCATAATGATGTTTAAAAGAGTTTAAGCATGTGATTAGCCAAGGTGATTAGGCTTATGTGAATAAAACTACATGATTATGCATGTGGAAGGTAGAAAACATGTATAAAAACATATGTGATGTTTTGGATGGCCAAAATGACATTTATTGATTGTTTTAGACATGATATAGGTTGTATAAAAATTTCGGATCAAACGGATCACGTTTCGGGGGTCAACTCGGGGGTCAACGGGCCGTTGACCCAAAACTCCGAACATACCCGGCGCCGGGTATAGGGCATACCCGGGGCCGGGTAAGCTGCTGCCTCCATATTACGTTTTCGCCGAAAACGCGAATCGGAGCCCGGTTCGATGGGGGGTTGATCCCGTACAACCTATGTGTGTATATTGTGCATGGAATTGTATGGAATATGATATTTAAATGTCAAGGTTGATATTTATTGATTTAATTCTAAGACTTTGTTTAGTCTTTAGTAATAATATGATATAGACCCTATCTAGTGTGATATGTGGTAAGTCATAGGTCGGGTGGAGTACCCAGGGATCGGGCGTGTATCCTCAAAACTCAGTTATAGGGTGGAGTACCCAAGGATCGGGCGGTTATCCTCAAAACTCGGTTATATAGGGTGGAGTACCCAAGGATCGGGCGGTTATCCTCAAAACTCGGTTATATAGGGTGGAGTACCCAAGGATCGGGCGGTTATCCTCAAAACTCGGTTATATAGGGTGGAGTACCCAAGGATCGGGCGATTATCCTCAAAACTCGGTTATAGGGTGGAGTACCCAAGGATCGGGCATGTATCCTCAAAACTCATAGATTACATTTAATAATCTAGGACCGGGTGGTGTCCCTATGGTAATTTACTTGAACAAGGAGGAGTTCTATACACTCATAGGTATATGGGTGGGTTGGGATTTAAGTCAAGGACATTGGCTTCTATTATTTTCCCAAATGAACAATGACCTACGGGTCGGGTATTTCCAAGTGTATATATACTAATAGGTATTTCAAAACTTGGGGGAAGAACTATACGTATATGTATCACCCTATGTTTGGGTCTTATACTTGAAACGTTAGTTATTCTACATTTAGCTTGCTACTCGCTCGGTACTTGTACTGACCCCTTCGGGGGGCCCCACCATTTCAGGTTGAAGCTAAGGCTAGCTATCCACACTTTGCTCGGTGAAGTATTCCAAAGGAAGACGTGGATGTGCTTCCTTTACTGTTTTAAACTACAAACTTGCTCATGGATACTTTGTAATAAATACATTTGTTTTGGGCCTGCGTGCCTACGTTTTGGCCATGTGTGGCCCATGATTGAATATTGAATATTTCCGCTATTCATTCAATCCCAATATGTGATGTTGTTATGTATGTTTACTTACTGAGTATGGTATGGACTATGTTCATGGACGCCTTGTGTGACTAAGTCGCGTTGACTTGCGAGTGACGTCATTTAGTCATACGGCGGTTGTACACACGCTCAGATGCGGTCAGGGGCGTGACAGGGAATTTATGAGGTTGACCAAACAACAGCTTTAACAGCAAAGGTTGATTCTCTCACAACCATGGTTCAAAAGCTCACTGAGAAGCAATCATCATCAACTTCTAGCGCATCAACAAATCCATCATCATCTTTAGCTCAAGTTTTGTTCTGTGAACTCTGTGGAGGAGGGCATTCTTTTAAAGAATGCAATCTTCTAGAACTTACACAAAACGTTCCTTCTGGCCCCACAGTAGAACAAGCCGATGCTATATATGGTAGACCTCAAGTACCATATCAAGGAAACTATAATCTTCAAGGGAAGACACATCCAGGATTTTCATGGAGTAACCCATTAGGTGCAGCAAATTCATCGTATCCATCCAAACCAACACCTCCTGGATTTCAAAATCAACAAGGGTACCCACCGCAACAACAATTACCACCACCACCACCTCAGCAACAACAACAATTTGTTGGAGTTAATGACTTCCAGAGAATGATGCAAGGTATCACTAATCAATTCTCTCAACTCACCGCTCAACTCAATCAAATTCAAGCTCACAACAAAATGCTTGAGAGCCAGATTGCTAGTTTTGCTTCACCATCTACTAGCAAAGCTCAAGGCAAGTTGCCTGCCTACTCTGAACATCCTAGGGAGAATGTCAGTGCAATCACTACAAGGAGTGGAAAACAACTTTCTGATCCACCACTTGTAGTTGAGAAAGAGAAGATACCTGAAAAAGAGACTTCACCACTAAAGGAGAACAATGAAGAAGATCTGAATTCTCACTCACATGAAGGCAAGAAAAAGGTAGTACAACCATATGTTCCACCTTTACCATTTCCTCATAGAGCAAAGAAAAACACAATTGATGAGAGGAGGGATAAATTCCTTAAATGGATCGGTCAACTCAACACAACAATCCCACTTCTTGATGCTCTAAAACATATGCCTTCATATTCCAAATTTCTAAAGGAAATTCTTTCAAACAAGAAGAAGTTTGAGGAGAAAGCTACCGTAGCCATGAGCGAGGGATCCAGTGCTATCATTCAAAGGAAACTTCCAGAAAAATTGAAGGATCCAGGTAGCTTTACTATTCCATGCATAATTGGAGGGTTCATGGTTAACAAAGCTTTATGTGACCTTGGGGCTAGTGTTAGCCTTATCCCATATTCTATGAGCAAGCGGCTTAGTCTTGGTATTCCCAAGGCCACTTCTATGACCATTCAGCTTGCTGACCGATCTGTTAAGTACCCTGTTGGCATTCTTGAAGACATTCCTGTACAGGTTGGAAAATATTTCATCCCTTGTGACTTTGTCGTCCTAGACATGGATGAAGATGAGCGAGTACCTGTCATATTGGGAAGGCCTTTCTTAGCCACTGCTGGTGCCATCATTGATGTTAAAAAGGGTACATTAAAAATTGAAGTGGGGGATGAAAGGGTTGAGTTTAATATTTTCCAAACGGTGAAAAATCTTACATGTGTGGAAGATTGTTGGAGGATTGATATAGCTGATGAATCTGTGAGAGACTTCACAAAAATCTTTCACAAGGATCCTATGGAGGTTTGTGTTGTGGAGGAAGTCGAAAAAGATCATGAGTATGAAGAGTTAGTGGAGCGTGTAAAAAAGAAAGAGAGTTGTAAAAGCTTTCACGAGGGGAAGGAAGTGAAAAAACGGAGGAAGGGAGGAAAATTGCTATCAGTGGCCAAAGAGTTAAGAAATATTCTCAAGGAGAGGACGCAAAGAAGAAACTCATTGTTCGACTGGATCATCCTCCGTACGAGTAAACCAATCAGGTAATGTCGGGCACACGACGTTAAAAATAGCGCTTCTTGGGAGGCAACCCAAGTTTATTTACTTGCATTTGAATGTGTGTTTTGCTTGTGTGTTTGCATTGAATAATTTTATTTTCCCACCCATTTACTCACCCGCCCTGTATATATTTGTCACATCGAGGACGATGTTTCATCCTAAGTGTGGGGGGAGAATATGCATGTTTGTTTGTTTGTGAATTGCCTTATCATCTTTATAACTTTCAAATCATGCATTCTATTCTTTCACATGGCATGTGGAAGGTTGGCGGGACTTGTCTCTTAATAATTGGATTGAGAATCATAATTTTTGAGCGTTGAGTAAAATTTTGGTCAAAATTTTAAACTTTTTTACAAACACAAAACATCTCATGCACGTAAATGGTTATCTAGTGAATTGTTATTCAATATGTTTAAAATTGTGCAAAACAAAAGTGCTATATGCTTTTATTTTCCTTGACATGATTTTCTGACTTGGCACATTAGGAAATGATATAGGCCATTTTTCATAAACCCATATACCTAGCCTTACCCATGTGATAAATATCCCTTGTTCACCCCCTTTGAGCCATTTTTTTTAATAAGCGTTATACGCTTAACCCTGCTTTTCTTATTTTCTTTCATAAAAACCTGTTATATGTGACCCTTAGCCTAAAATCCAAACACTTTCCAACCACCCTAAAATGACTTGCATAAATTTTAATGAGTTCAGAGAGTGTCATTCACATTTAAGGAGCTTTAATAATTACACTTTTGTGATTACTTAGTTGTTAATATTCATTTATAGGGGTATTTGTTCTTGTTGTATCATCATTGTACATATTGTTCTTGTAAATTCTTATGGTTAGAAGCACTAAAAAGCCTTGAAAAAAAAAATAAAAAAAAAAAACAAAAAAAGAAAAAAAAGAAAAAAAAAGTCAAAAAAAAATAGAAAAAAAGGAAAATGAAAAAAAAAAGAATAAAAAAAATCTAAACAAGGCTAATTATCTATGTATATGCTTCTCTCTTTTGTATATATTTTTTTACATTAATTTACTCTTTTTATTAGTTACTAGTTTACTACCCCTAACTATTAAAAATAACAAGTGTTGTATAGATTATTGTCAAAAGCTCCTACTCACTACTTAGTACCTCTCTAACTTTGTTAAATTTATGTCAAGTTCATTTCTTTTGTTTCCTCATTAATTCCTTTTATTCATAAGCCTATCCACAGACCCCATTATAACCCTATGTGAAAGTCCTAACTGATCCTAATTGTGTTTTGTCTGAACTAAGTTGATAGGAAAATCTTATTTTGCATAATTTTGCATGGTTGAACAAACGAAGCTAGATTCCATTTTCGCACCACACACTTTGTGTTTGTTATAGTTGAGATTTGACCAAAACGTTTCAAATGATATGTAAAATATTTTTATGATTCTCACTACTCTTATTTTGTGACAAGTCAAGGGATTTTTGATTGATCAGGTGGAGTGAAAAGAAAGTGTGCATAATTTGAGAGTTGTACATATGATTTGGCAAATTCATTTTTTTTCTTGTTTGTGAGAATGTAAATATTTTTGCTTGAGGACAAGCAAAATCTCAAGTATGGGGGAGTTGATGTACTCCTAATTTACCATATTTATGATCTTGTTTTGTCACACTTTTAATACTTTATTTCTTATTTTTAAATAAAAAGGATTGATCTTTATCATCTTGGACATTTTAAGGTATTGCACTTGTTTTGGTATATTTTTGAGTTTCAGGATAATTCGGGACGTATATTAATTTCTGAAAAGAAATAAATATTACTCCCGAGTGAAGACGGAAAAATCATCAAAGTGAAGCGAGTCCTTACTTTATCTCTGAAATATTTATTCAGAGACCCGAAGTTCATTTCAGAATAAACCAGACTGTCTACAATAAAATGTACCGATTAAATATTTGACCAGTTAACTGATCAAACAGCTAACCGGCCAAAATAATCAAGTGGCGGAAAGCGGCCAAAACTCTGGCATTCAAGAGCTCAACACTATTCACTCATTGAGACATGTGAATAAAGCTCCACCGTAGAAGTCCAAAAGAAGAAATGCAAAGGAGTGATTATTGTATTAGATTATTGGAGGGATCTACGGATTTCAAGCTAAGCAATTAAAATCCAAGTTGTCTTCATCATCTTTCATGAGCCGAACAGAAGAACACACCGGCCGATGAAGAAAAAAATGCACAACTGAACAGTGGCCGGTGCTATTTGCAGGAAGAAAATGAGAAATTGGCAATCACATCTGGTGAAGATTCAAATCAGTGGCCGCTCAAATATAATGATCCTTGTCTTCATTTGTAGATATTTTATGCTCCATACTCTTCTTTTGCTGCTATATAAAGGAGTCATTCGTGAGCTGCAGAACACACCAAGTTCTGATAGAAATCATTGTTCTCTTTTCTTTAGTTTATATTAGTAGCCATATAATAAAAGTGATTTTGTCAAGAACACTTTCTGTATAGATTTCAGTTTGTAATTCTCAGTTCCAGAATTAGCTTGTGATATTGGTATTAAAGTTCATATGCAATTATCAGTTCGTTCGATCAGTGCAAGCTTTATACAAGGATTCCAGGCTTTTTCTGTTCCAGTTCATCTATGTTCTTCATTATTTATGCCTTCAGGTTCTTATTTAAACACTACTTTAATTTCTTTAATCTGTTAATTTAATTATGCCTAGCATGAATTTTACTCTTATTTTGTTTACTATAATTATGTGTAACTAAATTAGTTTAGGCTTGGGCAAGATGCAAATTTTACTGTTAATGTTCATATGATAATAATTGGTTAAAACTTTTACTTGGTTAATTTTAGGGTGTTGGGTTGAATGTTTAATCTGCTAAATACATTATATTGGGAAATGAATATTATCACGGGAGTGGAGTTTCATTAAAAATCCATTTAGTTAATTCACCCACTAAATTGCTACACGGAAGTGTTAAGGAATTTAGGATAATTTGATTTTGTACTTTTTACTGTATTAATAAAATTACCGCGGGAGCGGAATTAATTTAAGATAGTGTA